TATAGTGAACATTTCTGTACTTTAAAAAGTCAGCTCCTAAAGTTTACAAAGGTGATACTCTCTCTGTGCTTAGAACTGGTTGTAAATACGTTTATATATTCAACTGATACTGTTAATTTTTTTCTTCAGGTGTTATCAGTATGTCCAAGTTTTAGATCTGGGAGTGAAACTTCTGTTCGTTTGTTTACAAAAATGTTGTAAACTTGTGAAACAGACGACTTCTGTTGATTCATCAGTTTGATCTTCTGTTTAATTGTCCTGAAAACGTGGTGGAATAGGAGGTTGTCTGGAATGTATCATCATGCCATATTTTCTTAGTGTGTGTCTTTGAGCCAAACTACGGTGTGAGGCACAAACAAATCTTTTTTTTTTTCTTTAAGCACTCTTATAAACAGGAAATACTTTGTGTTTGGAACTGATCAGGGCACTCTTCTCTCCCTTCCCTCCTGCCATTCATTAGCAGGTTAACTCAATATAAAACAGAGTAAAAATCATTTGTCTGCCCCAAACATCTTTGCTGTGCTACGTGGCCACTGGGATGTCTTGACTAATTAAAGAAAACTGACAATAATTTAAAAATAATTGTCAATATGGAATTGAACTTCGAAATAAAGATAGAAATTTTTTTTTTTTTATTCTTTTGTAACAAGTAATATGTTGTCAGGCTCGCCAACTGTTTTTGAACAAGTGTTATACTTTAGAACTCTGGTTATGTTGTATCTGTCAGTGCTCTTTTGGCTTGTGAAGCCTGGAAATATCACGGAGTGTACACTGGAATCCCCAGAACTACAAGCAGTGATTTTTCTATATAACCAGTTTCTTATGTTTAAATTACAGCAACAACTGCTGTGAAATTGCGTTTAGAAACAGCCAGATATTTCAGCTATACGCTGCTCTAAATGTCCCTCAGTATTGCAGGCTGCAGAAACTGCTGCTCTGATTTTATATTCCTGAATTAATGATTCCTTTCTGTTATGCCTCTTTCTGGCAAACCTCACTAATTAGGGAGCATAATAATGTCTTCTAGATTAGTTTGCAGTGTCAAATTTCCTACTTTCATCATGTTCCTCTTCTCCTTCTCTCTGCAGACTTTCAGCACTCTGGAAAACCTGACTTCTACAGTACTCTGCAATTCTTCTGACGTTCCTTCTGGCTTAATGAAGGACAAAGCAGTTGTAGTGATGAGAGGAAACTGCACTTTTTTGGAGAAAGCGAGAATTGCACAAAGTTCAGGTGCTAAAATGCTGTTGATTGCCAGTAAACCTAGGCTGGTAAGTTACAACATACAGTTTTCTTCTGTAGCGAAATAGTGTCTTATCCATTTGGTCCGATGCAGTGTTGTGCAGGGTTAGCTGAGAGACACCCCAAAAGCAGAGGACCCTGGCAATGTGTGGGATTCCAGCACCATCCCCACAGAGTGCTGTGCTGGCACGACTGCTGTTCCTGAGACCAAAAGAGTCATTCCAAGTTAGCTCCGTGCAATGCTGTGTTGTATCGTCTAACACATATCTACAGCTGAATTGTATTTTTAAGCTGTTCCTTGTATCTTTAATCATGTTTCTGAATGCAGATGCTTGTCTTTATCATTCCCTAATTTTAGTGTACTCTGAACTCCCTGTAATCTTAGGTGATACTTTTGTTTTAGACATGTGTGACAAAAATAAGCTAGGAAAATGTAATCCAAAATTGGAAATAAAAAAAAAAGGCGTTTTGAGATACCTTTACAGATACTTCTGTTGCTTTTTTGTTCTTTATTACAGCTGCAACATGTATGAACAAATATTTGCAATTTATTAATTTGTGTGATTATCATGAAAAGTTAATCTTGTTTTAAAAGCATAGAGAATAAAAACAGAGTTTTGATTATCCCTTGTAATATTATAAAAGCACGAGAACTTTATGAATCCAGATGTGTTGGTAGCATCACCTGTTTTGATATAAGTACATCTGTCTTCATTAACCTTTTGCAAAAGGTGATGAATAAGCTCTTTTTCTTTTTTCTTCCTACAAATACACTGAAATTTAGAGGATAATCTGCTTTTAGGGATCTAACTTGCTTTGCAGTTAGGCTCAACATACTTATCACTGACACTTTCTCTTTCAGTCTCCTCTTTCTGATAACAAGACTGATTTTGAAGATGTGACTCTTCCAGTTGCTCTTATAAGATATAATGACATAGTAGATATGCAGCTGGTAAGTAATATAATTTCAGCATGTTATGATTTGTATAAACTTAGGTTTTTGAACAAATAAATAAAATAATTTCAGATCAGATATGGGTGTCTGCCTGATTTGAATGCGCATAGATACTGCTTTCAGTTTCACAGAAGAGGATGGATATTAAGTTGTGGAAGTGCTAGTCTTCCTAATTCAGGTTAATTTGAGAAAATGATTAATTAGAACACTAAGAATGGGAAACATAATACCTAACTGGAGGGAGGGTAATCCTAGAAGTCTTCCTGCTAAAGAGATAAGCAGCCTTCTGGTAGACTTGTATACAATTGGAGATGCCTGACATACATCAAGAGCTAGAGCCTGAAGAGGGCTGTTCCTTTAGCACAGAAGTGAGTTTCTGCTGTTGAGTTCATGGTGAGATGCCAAGTGTGTGTCATTAAAATGTGGCAGTTGTGGTATCTCTTATGCTTTATAAGCAGGAGAGTTTGTTTTGGGGGTATTTGGAGTTCGTTTTCCTTGACATGTAATATTAGGATACAGAATATTGCAGAGGGTTTTAAAGAAAATAGTATCTTTTCTTTGGTGTGGCTTTTTCTGTTGTTATTTTGTTGTTGTTTTGTTTCTTATTTAGTCTTAAATAGCTTTGCTAGGCAGGAGTTGCACTGCACATGTTTTTCTGTGAATAGCAGAGGCTAGCATTAACCTGTGTAGTCTTAGCTTCTTGGATTGAATTTGCAAGCTCACTTCATTTCTGCTCTTAATCTTCAGAGCTGCCAAGGGAGTTTGTCTTAGGTAAGTATGCAAACTGAAACCATGCGAAGATGTATAGGACTTTGGTTGTTTTCTGTCTGTTCCCATTAAGGATTGGTTCTTGCCAAGCATTGACATGACCGAAGGTTTCTGATGGCTGTCCTCAGTCTGCCGTAGTCTTGATGAATACTGTGTTTTGGTTCGGGTTGTCTTCTGTCTTGAAGTTTGTTCCTTCAAGTAAGACAATTGTTGTTTGCTTAGTTGAGTGGTTTTAAGATATGCCCTACTAACATGAAAGGGAACTAAGGCAAGGTTAGATCCTTAATTTGTTCTGAGTATTTTCTGCACCACTTTATTACCTAGTGCTGCTTGGGATGGTGTCGTGTAGAATCGCTTCTGTGTAGCTATAGTAATTCACCGAAGTAACTTTGCTAGTAGATAAGTGTGCCAGATGATGTCTCATACTGCTGTTGAATCAAAGAATTCGGTTTTGTCTTATAATGAGGCTGCCTTCATAAAAGTAGTGAGGAACACAGCCTAGACTACAAGTGATCCTTTCCTAGTTCTGATGTAGTTTTTGCCAAAGCCTTCTGTCATGTCATTGGCAGCTGTTGTTTTGAATGATATGTGCTGCTTGGAAGCTGGCAGCCATTGTACTTGTCCTACTACAGTTTTATTTCTGTTTTAACTCTTTTCAAGGCTTCCAACTTTCTCCTTTTATTTAGAAGAGAGAGGCAGCACCAGTCTGAGGCTAGCTAGTTTGTATAAGCATTCTTTCTGCTTTTTCTTAGAAGACTTCATCTCTGTTAGCTTTCACCATTTTTGTCAGGTATGTTATGAGTCTTGATAGCAATAGCAGAGTGTTACAAACCTTCTAGTAAGTGGACAGCTCTCTTGCAGAGTTGTTATCTGATGCGATGCATTTGATTCTAGTGCTCCCTGTGGTGGAAGTTGAGACTTTGCAAGTTTTTAGTGAAGAGCAGAACAGGAGCAAAAGGAAACAATCACTCTGGATTCTAATGTGAATTATATTTTATAAGATTTATGAAACTTAAAGGAAAAAATTGATTAAAACCTGTTGGAATTTAATACTAAAAATGTATAAGCCTTTAGGTTTCTTGGGGGTTTTGGTGCTTTTTTGTGTCTGAGTTTTGGTTTGTTTGGGGTTTTGTTTTCTCTTTTTACGTACAGGATGCTGTAATTTGAATAGGGGTTTTTTGCCTTTATCTAATGTTATATAACATTATAACACTTCATATAACACTTCATATAACTGCAATGTTTCACTAGAATTTAATTTTCTTTCTTGTTTTCTGAACTTCCATAACTTCAGGCAAAGGAATGATTCTGACTTCTTTAGCCTGCAGTAAGGTTAATATCTGTAATTAGATAATTCAGATGCTGAAATAAATCACCTTTCTTCACATATGGCCAGTATATTCCACTACACTACCTGACTTCCCATTCAGTCTCTCTGCTGCCAGTTTGATCTTCTGGTAGCCAAACCTGCCTGGCATGTTCATCTCCTCTCCTGCCTTTATCCCACATGCAGACTGTTAACAAATCTGTTTTTCTGCTGCATCTCTCAAGTCTTTTCACTGCAGGATTGCTTTAAATGCCTTGACTTACTTTGACTACAACAGCAAACCTTTCTTCCCTACCACCTTCCATTTCCTGTCAAATTATCATCCTTTGTTTCTTAAATCTCACCTTTCAGTCAAATGGAAGCATTTTTTTTCTTTTTTGAAAAGAAAAGTTTTGCTTTTAAGATTTTTGTACAATTTGATATCAGTTATGGGTCTGTGTTCCCTTCTATCTTCTTCAGTGTCCTTCAGCTGATTGTTTTTTTTTTACTTCGGTCTTAATTTTTTTAAGTAGTGTGAAGTTGCTTTCTTTTCTTTTGAATCCATCTGAAATCATGTTTGTGTAAAGCTGTTATTAAGTAACTTTCTGCCACCTTGAGTTTTCACTGTATCCTGTCTGAAGCAAATTGCCTATATCTGAACTGTGAGTTTTGTGGTTTCAAGAGCTAGAGGTAGACCTCTGCTGATATCTCAGTGGACCTGTGAGTTTGTATTTCAAGTTCACTGACTCAGATACGCTTTCCTGCAGAGCAGAAGTCTTTGGTAGTACTTGGTATATTTGGGGGCTGAAAAGCTTTTGGGCTAGAGGCACAACTGCTCAAAAAGTGTTGAAAGAATGCAAAGAAGTACCATTTTGCCTTGTGGTATCCATATGTTTCCACAGCAGTAGTAATAGGGTTGTTTTCAAACCTGACCATCCTGAAAGGTAGCATGGAAAGCATTGCTTCTTTACAATGAGCAAGGCAAATATATGGGATGTCTTGTGCAGTAAGTTGAAAACTTGCTCTCAGCATTGTGTAGGTTAAGAGCAGGAAGTCACAATGTGCATCGTGTTGGAAAATAAGCAATATAATTTCTTTGTTGTCCTTATGGATCAACTTGTATGTGGTTTTGTGTTTTTTTGGTTTTTTTAGACGCTTGGAAATGAAGTTAATGTGACTCTGTATTCACCACCTTTGCCAGAGTTTGATTGCAGTATGGTTGTCATCTTCCTAATTGCTGTGTTTACAGTGGCACTAGGAGGCTACTGGAGCGGAGTAGGAGAACTGTAAGTTTGTTAAATGGAACTGCTTAAATTATGTGAACTACAAATCTGTGAAAACTGTGACTATGATCAGTGAGAAATTATGTTCTTTCAGGTTGGTCGTTAAAAAATTAGAAGATCTAGGTGCAATTAGCTACTTTGCCATGAAATGCTTTAGCACTGCAACCTTTGGAAAAATCACCATAGGTCTTTGAGGAACCTTGAGTAGTAGATTGTAAAAGTCCTTGAGGGATAATGTAGCTCTTGGGAGGAGGAATGAATTAACATTTTGACAAATTACCAAATACTCTATAACTAGCATTGTAATACTCCCTATGTCCATGATAGAAAGTAGCTATTTTAATTAAACCTTTAAAATCCAATGATCCAAGAGGTACGTACGTAGTTGTATATAGTGTCTGCATTAGCAGGATCTGTACAACTGCTTCATCCCAGCTGGCTGTGTAGCACCCTCTGGGATGTCTCTGCACCACACGCCTGTCACTAGGAGCACTGGAGAATGCAGTTTGGTTGTGTCTGGATGGCTCCAGACAGTTAAAGTCCAACCAGGCTTATCTGCTTCAGCTTTGTGTGTTACCCGGTAGAGCAACAGAGCCAGGGGCAATAGCAGCTCTAGGACTAGACAGGGGCAAGGAGGCAGCAGCAGTCCCTGTGCAGGGAAGGGGAGGGAGTGGAAGTGTAGAATGTGGCAAATGCAGGGAAATGAGGGGTAGTAGGGGTTTCTGCACAGTGCTTGAGGGGTGTGCGGCTTTGTTCAGTGAGGCGAAGCACACTCAATGCACAGAACTGTTTTTAGTCCGGGGTTAAACTGGATATAGCTGGCCTTTCAGAGCATGGTATTATTCTGCAGTATTTCTTGGATGTCTGTGTACGTTGAATGGACCAGTATGCGTTACTACCTAGGGCTTCCCATTCTCAGTGGTGTTCTCCTGCTTTGTTCCCCAGAACAACAGGGAGTGGATTGTATGTGATAACAACAGCTTCCTCTTTCCCACTAGTTATGCAAATCTAGTGATTTTAAAGAGATTAAAGAAGTAGGAGGGGGGGGTGTTTCTTTTTTTTTAAAGGTTGCATCTGATTATGCTTCTTTTTTACCCTGCAGTGCTATAGGGTGTGGCTGCACTGAATGCTAAAATAACAAAATGTGATGCTGTCTCCCATATTGAAAAATACCTAGATGTAATTATATTAAACTTGTTAAAGTGCGCTTTCATAAATCTAGGGTGAGCTTTTTTTTTAAAAAAGCTGCTTATTCAAAGCATGTCCTCTGAGAAGGTGATTCATCTAACAAAGTGTCTTACTCCTGTGGGTTTTTCTCTTTTGAAGGTAGCTGTTTCAGTGCTGAATTCAGCATTTTGTAGGTGGGTCCTGGGATTTGTCAGGAACATGCTATCTGATGGGCAATTTGCACTAGCGTCTGTACTAAAGAGTAGTAGGGCTATCTGCTTAAAGAACAAACACAACAATTTAAGTCTCCTTATTTTGCATGGTGAGGTATAAATATGGAGTATGTATGCACAGAAATCTTAGTCCCAGTGAAAATCCCCAATTACACCCCCTCTCTTTCATTTACTCTGTAATTATGAGGTGTAAGGGTAAAAGAACTATTGCTTAGCTAGCTTCATTCTGCTAACATGAATGGCTTTTGCAGACACTTAATGTCTATAGTTGATGTTTTAAAACAGTGTGTAATACCCATGATTTTGATTTATCATAGATATACTTATCAGATTGACTATATTTAGCCCAAGAAATATCGTAGTCGGAGGTGATGTGCTAATAGAGTTGAGTGCGTGCACCCTGAAAAGGAGTTTGAGAGTTTTGATATCAGACTACTTTTCCTCACATGGATCAGAGTTCTGGTTGGCGGTACTCCTTAAAGTTTGCAATCACCATGTGATTGGAAAAGAGGGCAGTTAAGAATCTTTTCCTTGTGATCTATGCTGGGTTAGAAGTGCATATCTCCATTAAAAAATGGAGAGAAACTCAAACAATAAGCATACCATTTTTATGTAATTTTTAAGTCTAATAATGGCCTGAAGGATTAGGCTGAAATGCTGTCAGTCTAAATTCTTTATAATCAACAATTTGGTCCAGGTAAAACGTTTTCATAATCTGTCATCTGAGGTAAACGTGTCTGTTGTTTTCTTAAAACAGTGAGAATTTGAAAGCAGTAGCAAGTCCTGGGGAGAGAGAAACAAGACGGAAGAAGGAAGAAAATGTTACTTTCACCCCTGTAACAGTTATCTTGTTTGTTGTCATCTGTTGTGTCATGCTGGTCTTACTTTATTTCTTCTACAAATGGTTAGGTAAGAAACAATGGATAATCTAATTTGACTTGTTTTTTCTGCATGATCTTATTAGGTGTTTAAGTCTGAAAAGCTAGATTTCTAAACTAAAAGTAATGTAATTATTTTAACTGTTCTCTCCGTGTATGAGTTGAGGGTTGAAAAAAATGTAGTTGCTACTTAAGAAAGAGAGAAGCTTTCTTTACTCTCTTACAAAGGCTGCCTTGACAGTGTTTATTCTGAACAAAGTAATGTGGAGGAGAGGTGACTAGTGACTAGGGAAAAAAGTATATGATGTATGTCGATGTTCTTGGGAGGATGGCAATGATAACTTAGTAGTGTTTAGAGTGAAAGCTTTTGTTAGGTGTCGCTCCACTGACATTGAGTTTGTGGTTGCAGTGCCCTAATTACAGTATCAGGCAAAATGGTATTACCATAATGGAATAAACTCAGGCATACTAGCAATAAGTTAAGTTCTTGAATAATGCAATTCCAGTTGAATGTAGTTCCCAAACTGTTGGTTGATTTTTTTTTTTTTTTAAATTTTTTCTTCTGCCCTCAAGTCATGCAACCAGAAAACGTATACTCTTTTAAATTACACTTTTTAGTACAAACAATGTAACTTTCATTCTGAAAGCTTCCTAAATTCACTCTGTCCTGGAATTTGTTACTAGTTAACCTCCTGCTTCTGCAAAAGAAACTTCAGGATCCTGACTTCTCCGATTTTGTGTAGCTTTTGTTATCTTGACTATGGGGAATGCTACCTTTACTAAACTTGTTCCACTAAAAGACTGATGAACCTTTTAATGTGATCAAAAGGTTTAGGTTAAAAATGTCCCCTGTTTACTCTGAGATGTTTCAGGTGAGATTTAGGAAGAAGTGAAGAAAGAGGCTTCATAAAGGAGAAGGGGAGAGGAGTAACAAATTAGTTAGGGGGAGGAAGAAATGTGAATGGTTCAAAGGAAATATGTAATAGTTTTTTGCTAAGAAGCCTTAGTTCTGTGCGGTTTGGAGCAGACATATATGAAATTTCTTGGAGGTAAAGAAGCTATTACCACAGTATGATATGCTGTTCCAGCGGAAAAAAAAAAAATCTGTGTTTAATTAAAAACAAGCAACCAGAAAACCCCCACTTTGATATGTCACTACTATAGCGTGTGAATCTAAGTCCTCATATCAATACTTGGAGTTAAGATCAATTCTGTAACTGAACTACTAGGGAGGGAGTGTTTCCAGCACAAAGCCAGTTGCAAAACTGAGCTCTGTGATGGAGTTCTCTGTATCTCTTTCTGTAAGTATTCAGGCATTATTAATTCTTCACTGTTGCCTCAAAATTTGAGATTCCCTAAGCAGCTGATTTCTTCCTGACTTCAGAGGAACCTGTTGTGCAAAACTTCTTGTTTTGCCTCTTGGGGGCTTAACAGATCATAATGGTGCATGATCTTGGTTACAACTATAAAATCCACCTTTCTTGCCTGTTTTTTCATTAATCTTCTTGTAGGTATCAGAATTGCTTTTCTAGCCAGACCTTCACTACAAAAAAAACCCCCAGCAAACCCCAGCTAGCAAACAACTGGTTTTATTGTTTGTCCACATTTCAAGGTGTTTACCGTAAGGCAGAATACACAATATACTGTAAGTTAGAACATGGAATATATATTTTTTTCCTAACCAGGTGATTCCTAGCTACATAGACATTTTTGGAAGGGATAGGGTGTTTAGTATCTTAAAATGCCAGCTAAAACATCAGTCAGATCTTGGGGATGCTGAAATTTTTATGCATAAGCAGACGTAGTGATTAAAAGGAATATTATCAGAAATTGAGAAAGCTGGTAGTTGTAAAATAGCACTTTGGTTTTAGCCATAACCAAATAAAAGTATGTGAAAGCAGTAACAGATGACATATTTCTTCTTAAAGAAAAGGAAGGAAAAATTAAAAAAAAAAAAAATGTTTTTCAATTCAAAAATTTCAACACTCAAGTCTTTGCTTGATGAGAACTCTTGTTGTGGCAGACACACTCAGAATTCAGCACTTTCTGTAATCAGCTGGCTGTAGTCTCCAATGACTGTATCGAGCAGTGCTTTAACTGTTAACAGTTCATATCAAATGTACATCGTTGTGTTTGATTCCTGTTTGCTATTTTTTTTCTATTGTATTTTGTCACTGATTCCCATCTTCCATTCTTTTTATTTAGTGTATGTTATAATATCAGTCTTCTGCTTGGCATCTGCAATGAGCCTATATAACTGTCTTGCGGCATTGATAGGAGAAATACCATTTGGGCAGTGCAGGTATTGTACACCTTTCAACTATTATAAATGTAAGGTTTCTTTTTGGTATTTTCTGGTTGCTACCAAGGTAGTGTGAAAATATGAGAATGGTTTGACAAATTGTTTCCTATATGGTTTAGCGTGCGGGATTGTTACAAAAGAAAATTACAAGCTTCCTTAATAGATATTAAAGGTATCCGTAGCGTAATCAACAGTTACAACAGTGTTGTGGGAGATTTGGTGCATTACCTTTATTTGAAAGCATTGCTATAATCAAACTTGAAAGGCTCTGCTTGGCTATCTGAGCTCAGTTTTACAAAATTCTGATTGCCTGTAGGGTGTGCTCACTTTAACTCTGTAAGGGGGGATCCTGCACATGCTTTGTTTTCTTGGCAATGGGAATGCTAAATAGTTTCCAATTCTTAGTGGAGTGTTTTGAGCAAGTACTATGCTATAGGCAATAGAGGGTTATTTTTTTTCCCCTCATCTTAATCTGTACTGTACCTGTAACAGACCAAGTTTTAATTTTCTCTTGTGAAGGCAACGCATTGCTCATGTCCTGTCTTAGAAGTTAGTGGTTACAGTCCTAACTTGGGTAGTGGGTTATCGGTATACAGATAGCCTCTTCTTACTACTCCAAGTTAAATACCCTGCAGGTGTTAGTGAGCATGAGAATGTCCCTGTTTTCCTCCTCTGTATTTTTACTTTAAAAAACCCTAATGTTCAATGCAACAAATGGTTCTTTTCCCCAAAAGAACAATGCTTATAAGCTTGGAAGCCTACGACTATGTTTGCATGTTACTTAGTACAGGATATTAGTGCCAGGTGATCCAGTAGCACATCAAAGGTAGAGATCAGGTAGAAAAGACAGCAGTTTTGAGTAGGCTGCAGGACAGGCATTACTTCTGTCAGTTAATATCAGTTCAAGAACTGTCCCAGAAAATTGAGTAGGCAGTGGAAACAGATATTGGCTCACAATTTTGCAATACATAGTTATTCCGTTTTTAATTTTGCATTAGGTGTCCTAAAATTGATCCCCGCCCCGGAATCATGACATGACCATTCCTCACTGACATAGTTATGGTGGCATAGTCATTACATGACAGAAATGGATTAAATAAATTCATCTGCTTGCTGCCTCCCCTGGATGTGTTTGGTAAAATGAGGACAGGCCATCAAAGCCCAACTTGTCTTACTGTCTGTGGGCATGTTTTTAATGCAGCCCAGAGAAGGACTGGTACTGCAGTTGCAAGAATGATGCACCTGAGCCCGGGTGCAACAAATGGGCAAAGGTGGAGCTCTCAGGATGAGAACACCTTGTCAGCTTAAGGACCCCTGATAGCACAGGCATGTGTTTTGGCTGTTGCGGGCTTTCTTTTTTTAATTTAATTATTTTCTTTTAGGATTGCATGTTGCAACAAAAACATTGAAGTGAGGCTTATTTTTCTTGCTGTATTCTGCATAGCAGCAGCTGTTGTCTGGGCAGTGTTTCGAAATGAAGATAGGTAAGTGATGCATTCTGACTTAGAAGAGTAATATGAATAATTGTCGTTAATGAACTTCCCATCGTATAACTAATCCTGGAGCATGGCATCCTTCTAAACTCCAGTGCCGATTTCAAAAAAAGTCATGAAAGTATTTATGAAGCTTAACAAGCATGGGAATAACAGAGAACAAAGCTATACAAATGAACTGTGTAGTAATTTGGACTTAGAAAAAATTATGAAGATGAGGAAGAACTAGCTTGATTGCTAATGATTGCCAAAGAGGAAAAAAAGTGCAAAAATAGCATAGGGACCATAGGACCTGTGCTTCCTATGGTCCAGTGGAAGCATAGGACCACAAATACACAAATATTATAGTAAAATCCTAAGTAGCATCTTGAGCCAGATGTTAAGTAAGGCTTCCAATCAACTGAGCAATCATACAAGTGAACACCAAGGCCCTGTTATGGCCTCTGCTAAACTCATTTTCTCTGTAGTATGCTGATAAAGAACAGTTACCTATTTATGATCAGAGGCTAGTGTAAACTGACCATCTTGAAACTAGTATTTTTGTGGTGGAAGTAGCAGTACTTCCTAAAAACTAATTTCTTGCTTTCCAATCCATTTTGCGGTCTTGCTATTTCCAGCAAAACCAAAAATCATTATTGTACTTAGATTCCAGCAGTAGTTTGAAACAATGTGTAAAAACGTGTTCTTATTTTTAGGTGGGCTTGGATTTTGCAAGACATTTTGGGAGTTGCTTTCTGCCTAAACTTTATTAAAACACTGAAAATGCCCAACTTTAAGGTACTGTAAGTTGCTTACCTTAAGAAAGTATTCTAATGCCATGAATCTGTAAGTTTAGTGTCAGGAAGTAGGTTTTCAACATTCAAGAAATAGACATTTTAAAAAAAAAAATCTTTACCATTTTTAATAATTAAGAGAAATGAATCCTGTTCTAAATGTTATGCCAGAATAAAAACATGGGGAGGCAGGGGGATGTTTCTTCTTTTTTTTTTTTTTTTTTTTTTTTTTAATGTGGTGGTACCGTAATGGTACCAGAATCTAACTGTGCAGTTCTTGAAAACCTACAGTAATATTTTCTTCGTCTTTTGCCAGTCCTGTGTGATACTTCTAGGCCTTCTCCTTCTATACGATGTATTTTTTGTCTTCATAACACCATTTATCACAAAGGTATGTCTGTGAATTTATCTTTAAAATAAAAACAAAAAATGTTGTCTGGTCATTGGGGCAGTATTTTTGTCAAACAGATTAGTGTTTTCAGTATTCTTAATGCAGAAAGGCCTACTTCCTTTTTCTTTTTCCCCATTTAACATAGCAGTGGCCTAAATTTTCATCTTGTATGGGCCTTAGAGTGTAATGCTTGTGTAGGTGCCATAAATCTTGTTAAATGACTCAGTTTTCAGCAATCACATGGCCAGAAGTAAGCTGTCCCCAATTGTGTGACAGCGTGATGATGAGAAATTACTGTCCTCCGGTTTTCCTCCTTCTTTTGCTTTCAATGCCCGTATGTTGGAATGTGTTCTAGTACTTTCTGTGGTGCTCATTTGCAGTGTAGTATGAACTTATGCAAGCGTACTTTCTTTTATTTTGAGGCAGAAAGCTTATGGCAGAAAAAGCTTGACACGTTTTTATCTAAACTTCCACCTACATCATGTGAATTTGTTGTTTGGTTTTTTAAACAATTATTTTAGGCTGGACTACATGTTTTTAATGCAAAACAATACTGTATAATACTGTACGATACTAGTCCATACCTTTTGATATTCAGGATTTTTTCCAATCCTGAATTGTAAGATGAGGTACAAGCAGTTTTTATAAATGTAGTATGAATGTTTTGGTATATTAAACCACTAACTTTTGAAAAATAACCTTAATTTCAGAATGGGGCAAGTATAATGGTTGAAGTTGCAGCTGGTCCTTTTGGAAACAGTGAAAAGGTACGAACAGTTGTTTTAATATGTGCAACATAAAAATACTGACATTGCGTAGCTAATTCGTAGTGTGCTTTTCAGCATAACTTTCTCACAAAATATAGCCAGCTTCTGCTATTTTCTTTTAAGTATTAAATACCTGTTGACTTGGGTTTGATCCTAGAATGATGGAAACTTGGTGGAAGTCCCTACTGAACGCTCAGCTCCCCATGAGAAAGTAAGGATTGTATTTCAGATACTGGATTTTCAAATGATTCCCTCTGAAAAGATTATTCTTTTGGGGAAAACCTGACTGTCCAAATTTCTCTTCAGGGCCTGGATATCATTGATCAATACTCTATAGTTAGGTTAATAATCCAGACTTGTTATTCTCATTATATGGTTAAATGTTGTTTTAACTTTTTTTTGGTGTGTGCGTATTATTCGTAAATCTGAAATTCCAGCTAACCTGTTGCCTTAAGCTTTATCCACTGTCTATGTCGGTTTCTGGTTTTTACTTTAGGTTCTACCTATTTTGAAGTTCTGCATTAACAATTAATTAATTACATTCAAACTGTTTATTAATTTAAGCAAACAAAAAAAATCCAAAATACCAGGATGCTTTAGATTAGATTTATCTGGGCTTCTAAAATATTGTTTTACAGTTACCTGTGGTTATTAGAGTGCCTAGACTTGAATACTCCGCATCGACGCTGTGTGACATGCCATTTTCATTGTTGGGTTTTGGAGACATTATTGTCCCAGGTGAGCAAATGCTTTTGGCAATTGTAACTTACGATTAAATATTTTGGTTTTGATTCTCAACTGACTTACATTAGAGTTTACTCTACAAATTAGTTACTGAATCAATTGCAGCAGTTTGCCTCAATCTGTCAGTGCAGAATACAACAAAAGCCACAGTATAAGAAAGTTAAGTATGTTACAGAACACTTAAATAGTGAAGGGTTTTTGCTTTTCTGTTGCACCGTGTTGTGTAAATACCAGTCCCGTGGATAAATCCAGTTGTCAGTATTAATTAAATCTCACAGAAAGTAAGTATTCTGTGACTTCATAGTATTTTTGTATCCTAGACTACCTAATTAGAGGTGAGGTAACAGAAAATGTATTATCAAGCTTTTCCATCTGTCTCAGAAGAGCTGAATTTTGCCATAGTTGGAGTCTTGAGCAAATTACTTAAGTCAGGCACAAAGCACTATCTTGTGAACAGCATGCTCTCCCTTTTCCTGTGATTTGTACTGAGGCAAAGTTGCTGATTGTTAAGAGCAAGCATTAAAATCCTATTGAAGAGAAGTATTGAAACTAGGTTGTTACTCTTTTGTATTAGTGCCTTCAAAATTGAAAATACCACAATGTAATTAGCTTGCTTAAAAAACCAAAACCTTTTAATACCAAGCTCACTTGGCTTATATTTGCATTATGATTTTGATTTTCAAGATTTACCATAGGATTTCTTAAACTGGTTCTTGGCTTTCCAGAAATAAATGGGAAGCAGATAACATACGGTAATGGGAAGTCTTACTATAAATTCTTTTTATGCTGCTTTGATTTGGAGGATTGGGGAGAAAAAAATCCATAGCTAAATATTTCATTAATCCTTTTTTTTTTTTTTTTTTTTGTCAAGGGCTTCTCGTTGCCTATTGTCGAAGATTTGATGTTCAGACAAGTTCATCTTCTGTATACTACATTTCCTGTACAATAGGTAAATCGTGGTATTTCAGCAAAGTTAATTTTCATGCTAGCTTTTTTTTAAATGGCAGAACTAGGTAGTTTTCTTCAGGTAAAGGTTCAATGTTGTCAAGAGTCTCTCTATAATCTTTTTTTAAATGTGCCTGCCCATATTTAAGGTGAGCATTTCTTTATGGTAGTCAGTTGCTTTGAGAAAGCTCGCAAATACAGAGCAACCTATTGTCCCTCTTTTCTTCAGTTATATTAACAAGAAATATACTACTTTAAAAAAATAATAATTCTGGCTTACTAAATGAGTGACTTAATTTAAAAATTCACCTGTTCTTAATTGTGTATATATACCATATATATATGTGTGTGTATATCTTTATAGCTTATGCCATTGGTATGGTGCTGACTTTCATTGTTTTGGCATTAATGAAGATGGGACAACCTGCCCTACTCTATCTTGTACCATGTACACTCATTACTAGCTCGCTTGTTGCTTGGAGGCGCAAAGAAATGAAGAAGTTTTGGAAAGGAAGCAGTTACCAGGTAGGCTGGATGCCTTAAGTATTTTGTTGTTGCCAATTCCTTTGAGCATGTGCTTCTCTTAAGTACTTGGTAATATATCCCTCACAATCCAATTTTTGCTAGTCTTAATGTTGGTTATCTTCTGGAAGGAATAAGGAAAAATAGTCTTTACTCTTAGATAACCTTAGTTTAGTAGTTGGCATGGCAGAACAAAGCTTAAGGGAGATTAAATAGCTGGTTCAGTACTCATGGGGAAAAAGTAATTTGTTCTGTTTTATTTTTATTTGAAATGGTTTTTTCATGTTTTAACATTCCTCAGCTATCATCTTGATGTGGTGTAACATGAGTCACTGAACTAAGCATGCAGATTCCAATCTGCAGTAGCCCTGTATTAAGAGACAGTTCAAAAAAGTTGGTGATCAACTAGAATTTTAGAAACTTTCCATGATCACTGGCATCCTGCTTCGTCAGGATTATATGGAGCATTCAGCAACAAAATAACTGGATGGTTATATAACTGTTTTCTATCACAGCGCACACTGTGTACACACTGCCTTGGGTATTCTGCATTTCCCCTTTGGTTATCTCTAACGCTACCCAGGAATTGCAGTCCTTAAAATCCCATCAGCTGTCGACATGTGCACATTCCCCCTGATTTGACTTGCTGTAGTAAGTGAGTGTGCCAGTAGCCCTTGTAGGCTGGCATTTATCGTAAGACAGACCAGTCTCGAGATTACTCTAAATTTTGTTTGAGACACGATGTCCAATATTGTTTGAATTCAGCAACTATCGCCTGTATCTGGGCTGTGCTGAACTCAGCTCAGAGAATGGATAGTCTGATGCAAGGGGGAGGTGGGTGACGTGAAGTTGATGGTGGAAAGGAGCAGCTCCTGCTCTTTCAGCTTCTGGATTGCAAGCTTTAAGTGGATCAATAGAAGTCAAGGTGGTAGTAATTCTTGTAAATGTAAAACTGCAGGCATGCAGCTTCTATAGTATTACCAGCTAAATGCTACCTTTTGTTGATCTAATACTCTACACCTGCTTCAGCTGGAGGTTGGTTAGGTATGAAATTACTCAGGAAATCTTCAGCTTTAACTAGATACCCTTCTTGTCTACCAAAACAACTGTTCTACTTTCATAGGTCCAGTGAATAGAAATGTTTCTCTGGAGGTCAGAACAAATTTGGCTTACCATGCATTTGTATATAAAATGGTGATTGTTCGCTCTTCCAAAATAAAGTGTCCCATATATGAAGCCCAGTAACTCTGGGACTGTTGGGGGGAAAAAAGCTTTGCAATTTATTTTCCTCACTTGAGTTCTGAGTAAGATTGGCCTAAGTAAATCTGGCAAGTCTCTTTAGTGACAAAAATTTTTTGCACTTCTCATAGCAAAACTCATACTTGGAAGAATTATGTTGCCATAGTAGTTATTTCATGTCCTTTCAGCTGGTTTCTTGAAGGATTAAAACTGCTCTGAACTTCAGCTTGTTTTGAGGTCAGATGACTTCATTTCTGGCACAATTTAAAATGTTGATTTTCACCCCCATTCCACCACCCCTGAGTTAGAGTTGTCTGTGATTGAACACCTCTGTATAACTTTACTAACTCCTATTTTTCTGTAACTTCCTGAAGAACTTTTTCTATATTAATTTTTTTTCCAGAGGGTGTTGTTCAAGCTGCACACTCAGAATGCTGCAGTGTTGATCTTTCTCATATGTTGTCCTCCCCACATAAAGCTGTATTTTGAACTGTCCTTACTGAACTTACAAACAAGCAAAAGAGACAAAAAAAAAAAACCAAAACAAAACACCACACAACCCCAGGGTTGAAATCTCCAGCTTTCAGTGCTCATTCTGGGAGAAAAGATACAGAAAGTTGACGGAAGACTATTTTTTGCTACAACAATGGTAATTTGGACTGTAGCAGAGCTGCCCCGTTGACAAGGATGACCAGAGTTCTGTAGGGGTTTGCTTTGTCCTCATGGGAACAGAGAAACCTTGCAGACTTGTTAGAGCAAAGTGTCCTAAGAAGAGGGGTACAAGAGCATGCACAGTGTATCAGGTGACTGAACTTCATGAATGCTACTGTTTGTTTATAGTCCATTAGTTAGCTTTTTTGAGTTTTGGGTTTTTCTGATTTTTGTTCTATATGATTTTAATAATGGAATAAATTTTATTTAGGTATCGGACTCCTCCAGGACGCCTTTGCTACAAGGTGTGATTATGGCCTTCTTTTAATGCAACTTTATGAATCATCTTATGGTTTCTTTTTTTCTTTTTTACCCCTCTGCTTCCTGTTTTCATTCTTTTCTTGCGTCTATCTTCTTTTTAATTTTTCCTTTTAATTCAATAGAAGAGGGTAGAAGTGAAGACAAGCTATAAATCTGTTTTTATGCTTAGTTTGGTTTTTTTTTTTCTTTAAAGGAATACAGGAAAACTTTATATTAAGTACCAATGAAGCCATGATTCCGAAGCCTGAAGGCAGGCTTTGTATGCGCCTCTACTCTATAATTTCCCAAATCCCTAGGAGTGTTTTCAAATATTTAGAATTGGTGTCAGTTCCTCTACTGTTACCTATATGGAAGTACTTTACCTAACTTTCTGTGCCACTACATTGACATGAAAACCTACTTAGTGCTCAACAACAATTTTGCTGTCCTCTGTTATAACGTTCAGCATTATAATTTGCTTTTAGTAACCATGTCTACAGTCCCTCTATCATCTTGTTACTCAATAGTAAACTTTATCCCATACTGTCTGCAATGCTTGCAGTGGGATAGGGACAAGGATTCGGACCAGCTTTTGTGGCCTTGCTGCTGCACAGCTACTAGAGTGCAGTGAGAAGGTTTAACCTTAATAGGCTATAGCTCATGATGGCTAACACGGATGGTATTTATTTTAGCTGTCCGCTGTCTCAAGCACAGCATGGAGTGAGCAATGCAAGCTCTCAAATTTCAACTTCTTGCAGAATTTAAGCATTTAAATATAATATTGAATTACAGTCATCAGTCTAGAGTTATACATAAAGCATAGCTTGTCTGCAAAGACAGTTGGAGATGGTGAACACTGCCTGACTGTGTCTTAAATTCTGAACTAAAAAGTACTTTTCTCATTAGCTTCTTTCTTCTAATAAAGAGTACTTTAATAATTTCAGTGTCATTAAAAAGCCTTAATAATAAAGAAATCAGATACAAACCCAAGAAGAGGTCAGGAAGTGGGAGGGGTTGAGTGCAAGTTAAAATCACATGGCCAGACTTGTTTTTTATAACTTAAAATTCTTCTGTCCTGCTGCGCGCACTCAAGTTCTTGGATAGGATTGTTAAAATCAGTTTTTCAGTTTCTACTTTGTACGTATGGGAAATACTGGACTCCCGAAGATAGCTCTGAGGTCCCATAATTCTTAGCTGAGCACATTTCTGTTTCTGCATAATGATGTAGTCTTAAATTCTAGTTATGCTGTGTGTGGCTTTTTTATGGAGTAGTCTTGAGCTGTAATGAGTTGCTGCACAGAAAAACATTTTAACTATTCACTGAAGCACAGGGATTTCTTGAGAGAGTAACGTACCTACTTTGCTACCACCAAATGGGCAGTATTGCTGCCGTGAAGTGTATAATAAAGGTTTTTCTAGGTTTTCTGGGTTGCTTATACTCCTCATGTATGCCTGCATGATAAACTAATTTGATACTTATTTCCTAGTTACTAATTTAATTTAAAAACACTATTTGTTTTTTGTATTGGTACGGTCTACAAAGTCATTTTAGTAACGTCATGAAAAATCTAGTGGACTAATGCAACTTTGAAGTCTTCTAGATAGAATAGTCTTGCAACTTTTTAGAGTTTGTCAATTTGAAGTGGTTAGCAAGCTTTATTATCTCCCTTTGCAATGTCCTTCTCATAGTGAAGGGCCCAAAACTGAAC